GAGACCTCTGCCCATCATGGCAGCTATGGACATCAGGGGAGGGGGATGTCCTCAAGCGAGCTACATGTCCACCATGCACCGTGCAGATATATGAGCGACCAACCACGCAGACAATGCAATGCAAAGCAAAGCCCCGGAATCAGATGAGTGCTAAAATGCGGCGATGTTTGGCCGGAGCCCAGCGTCTCTGTGGCGGCGACTCTCCTCCTCCCCCTGCCTCATTTCGCAGTGCAAAACAAACAGGGCTCTTCCTGGATGAGTGTCATCTCCGTATCTCACCAAACACCCAGCTTAAGCTCCGCGACGCGAGCGAGAGCCGCTCCTGCAGCAGCGGCAGCAGGAAAACACATCTGACGGTGCAGCGGAGGAAAAGGCCCGGCTGCTCACAGATCCTTATTCCTGGTCGGTGGAATGATGCACCAGCATCAAGACAGATTGAAGGCGCAGCATTTCCGGTGTTCTTCTCTTCACAACCAAAGGCATAAATTGCGACTGCATCATTAACATTCGTCATCTCAGTACTAGACAATTTATAAATATCAGTGTGTTAAAGGAAACCTCTCAATAATTAATGTCAGCAACAGCCTGCACGTCAATAAAAAGGTCACACAAGTAGAAGTTTGGGAGGTTAGCACAGTTAGCACATTAACGGCTAAAAGTTAAGTTACAAGTTTGTAACCAAAACGAATACAAAAGAAGCATTTACTAAAGATATGTCTCAATGGACTTCGCAGTTTTAAAATTACAACTAAACACCATATTTTAGCACTTTCGTAAATTAATTAGAAATAAAACAGTACCCGTGTATATCTGTCAACTTAATACAGTTTGAGATGAAGCTAACTTTTTCTTTTTTCTTCTTCTTCTTTGATTTTTTAAAAATAGTTTTGCAAAATCGATATAATCTGGATCAAGGTTAATTTGAAATAGACCAGGAGGCAATGGAAACATGTTTTTGGTCTAATAATACTCGGTGTTGATGAAGGTTTAGGAAATATACGTTAGCTTTTATTTTGAAGGCTGGTAATCTTTCACTTCCTGTGTGGACAGTCTAGGCCTGTTATACTTGACGCAGTTGAGATGCGCCACATCAGATATGTGCTGACAGGTTCAACACAACACAACGTACAGCTATGAATATAGGTCTGTGCTTTGCGGATAATCAAGTGTCCACAGACGGTGAGGAGTAGAACTCGAGCAGTCGGACCTGGCCGGTTTGCAGTTTACTGTGGTGATGGTGCCGCTCACGGCTGGTGGCGGCAGTGGCGTGGCCTGCACAGGCTGAGGACTGGGGTCTGCACCGTCGCTGCCAAGGTTGTCCTCTCAGATAGAGCAGAACCATTTAAAAAGACAGAGCATTAAACCTCTCTCCCTCACATCTGTAATTCTCCGAACCTAGACTGAAACAGTGCAAAAAGCACAAGACTGGTACTAGTACTAGTAATTCAAATTATTTCATTTATGTAGGATTTAAACAAATTATTGCAACTTTATGTACATGAACGCTTCACACAGAAAATTATATGCAGCAAGTCATATTATTGATCCAAGAGCTTGTTAAAAACACACACAGAGATGAGGTGTTTGTTCACATCAGTGAATTCAGCCATGTTCCTTGGTGTCATATTGTCCTTGTCACTTCACAACTATGACTCTGAAAAAAAAAGTTCCTTTAAAAGTGTGTTCATGCTCTGAAACACATTCTTCTTGCTGTGTGTGTTCTTTGTTCATGCTCTGAAACACATTCTTCTTTCATATGTGGCTACATTGAAATTTCCTCATGCTCTTGTAGGTTTGATTTTACACAGGTGCTGTGTATATGTGTATCTCAGTATTGTAACATATATGTAAGATGCACAGAAATACAAAAAACAACTCCAAGTCACTACTGAAGATTTGAGGGAAGATTTTAGTGAATGGAGTAAAGATTTTATTTCAAGAGACAAATCCCAGCTGGTGCCAGTTTATTTTAACATTTGTGCACCAGTCAGCTACATGTAATTGACTTTATTTACTTTTTTTTTTTAACACTTTTTTTTTTAAGTAATTGCCCTGATCCCTAACAGTACCTTCTGGTAGTCCAGGACGTTTAATGTCTCTTTCTGAGGCATTTTGTTTGCACTCATTGAGAGGACAGCTCAGTACAACTAATGTTGAACCAACTGATTTAGCATAAAGCCAGGCATGAAAGCAGAACATCCAATCTGCCAGAGACAGAAGAGTCTGTTCTTCACCTCTGTGTTTATCCAGTAGATACTGTATCCTTCACAGTTCTGCTGTGTATCTGATTAAACATTTAAAAGTCGCAATCTGAAGTCAAAAGACTTTTTCTAATCTAGTCAACAACTTTTTTTTTTTTACAATGGTCTGAATTCAGAAAAAAACGACTGAAACAAAAGTAAAATAACAGACTACACAAACGGGATAAAGGAAATGTTTTTGACATGACTGAACATTTAATTGACCAAATAACTCAGTGACTAATCAACTAAGGGACTCTTTTAGAGTGTCTCTTCTCAGAGTTACATACTGCTTCAGGACTGAACAGTGTCCTGCTACACCTACACTCCTCCTCACACATTCTTAAGAAAGCCTGTGGTCTCTAATTTTGGCTGACGCTCTAATAACTACTGTGTTCTTCAAAACGTTCCACTCACGCTGCCAAGCACGTCCCCTTGCCGGTCTGCAGGATTCCTCCAGTTTCGGGGACAGCAAAGTGAGAAATCAAGCACATTGTCTAAGTCCAACTAGTTCTTTTTGTCTTGTGCAGCAGGCCTGACAGTGAGTCACGCTCACACCTCTGCAGTCATGGTTATTTTGGAGTTGCAGTTTTATTTTAAAATGTTAATTAAAATGTACTAATTAGGGCTTGTGTCAGTAGAAAATCTTACACATGAAGAACAGATACAATGACTGATAAAGTTAGCGTGACCATGTAGTGTTCCATCTCCTTGCCTCAGTGGAATTTCAAATTAACCAATCGTGTGTCGGTTACAAGTCAGCTCCTTCAGGTAATGTTTACAAAAACATTTTTATTTACGACAAATTGGCTCAGATGTGACTGGAGACCTTTGGAAACACTTCAGCTTTGACGGTGTGATGACGGAGCGTAGCATTTATTTTAATGACAAAAAAAAAACAAAACAACAAGCTGTCCTATAAACATGCTGTAAATGTTATGGAAGCACAGTCAAAGGCTGTTTTCTTCTTTGTCATCATCAACACCTGCGATGACAAGAACATTCTGTAAAATGAGCTAAGGTCAACCTCAGCCTTCAGCACACACTCTCTGCTGCTGAGGAGGAATGCAGGATTATTTAATACCAGGCTACAAGCAGGGTAATTGTGTTTCCGCAGCTTGACATTTCCACACACAGCAGCCTGTGGAGTAGTTCCAGAAACAAACATCCAGTAAATTGTGGCTGTATACAAACTGTATTTTCTTGACTGTTAGTGCACCTCTCAAAATACGGTCACATTTAATCATTTGAGTTTCCATTTAAACTTTAATCGAACAGACACAATAACAAAATGAGGATTTATGATGTCCTTCCTGACTACATGGAAAACTATAAAAGCTATAAAAAATAGTGTCCAGTGAAACAGTTTGGACTGATGTAAAAAGCTGTTTAGGTATCAAGAGTCAGTTCAAAAACATAATCCACCAATGCCCTTTCCAAGGATGGTTTAAGGCTCACCATTCTGTATTAATCGTAGGAAGAGAAATGGCTAATTGATCTTAAAACAATGTTTTTAGTGCACAGTTATATATAAATGATAATAATATTGTAATACTATATTATTGGAATATTGTATTAGGGAAAACGTTTTTGGGGTGGAGTGATCTCTGTGCACAGGCTGAGGGCAGAAACCACTGCTGTTTGACCTTTGAGACCTTTTGACCTTAGAGACCTTTTTGACCACAAAGAGGTGTACAAAATGTCTAGAAACATCTATAAGAATGCCCTACATTAACTTAGGGCAAAATCTATATCCTAGGCTGGTGAACATGAATGAATAAAAGATCTATTTGCAGCAGCAGTTGTTTGATAGCAGTGTAAAAGTGTAAAAATGACTAAATTAAAGCATATATTAACCATATAAAATAGCGTTTTTAGGTGTAAAACATTGACCTGGTGACTTTTATTTGTAGTGTATAATCAAGCAAGTAGCAAATAAAGCCTTCAATCTGGTCTTTACTTCAGACTAAATGCAATGTGCTCTATGAAAAACTAGAGGGAGGCATTGTGCAAGCAAAATTACAGCTTCGAGCGATTACTTTCACAGTGTGAAATACGACAGGGAATTCCTTAGAAGTTATAAATAGGTATAAATATATAGATATAAATCATGAGCAGACAGTATTAGCTGGACAGTGCCTTTTGTTATGCTATACATCTGAATGTCTTCATCAGAGACTGCCCAGGGTGTGTCTTACCCACGCAGGTGCCCTTCTGCCCCTGACGTGATTTGGTGCTCTGCAGCAGTCAGTGCAGTGCATGTGACCTGTTGTGTAACACAGATAAGACAGATGCATTCTTTAGCTGCACTGGACAACCTGAAAAAG